CAGCCCCTGGCTGGTCACTTTAATAACCACCGAGCACATCGTGTGGTCCAGATGTTCAGATTTATATTGTGACAAGCACAACAATGATGTAATCGATCAATTTACGTCCAAGTTTATTAACTTAACGTATTCGGGTGCCTCGAACAGGTTCAACGGTTTTCATCTATGGAATCCAGTTAAACTTTTTCACAAAATAGGTGATGTCATCTAGAACACAACTTTCCCCAGGGTTTTTTAGTTGTTGATCCGGTTTTGTGCCCAGTGAATACAACACTGAGGTGAAAGTCATCAGCCCGGTGTCCATATGCAAGTCGTCCATTCGGGATCGATTAGCTAGTTGGGTGTGGGATGGTTTTATCAGCCATCAGGGAAGGACAGCATTATGGCAGACCCAGATTTACTGACCTACCCTCCACCTCCACAAATGTTGCCTGCATGAAATATCGAATTCATTTAAGTCTTTTTATGCATTGTGGACGTGTTTCCATTTGTTTTATCTGATTGTAAAACGTTTATCCTGTTCTGTATATGTCTTAGTATGTGTTTTCCCTAACTCGGACGTGTGAAATTTCAATGAGAGTTTTGCAGCCATTGGTGTACACCGGATGTTGTACACCGCCCTGCCTACCATCGTCATTCCCACTAAACACCCTTGTGTTTTGAATGCACATTTTGTGTCACATAGTGACCATGTTTATACACACTGTGGGTTGGAGATCGAAGTTGCCCTATTTCCAACCTGATTTTAATCGTTGCAAAACATTTGATCGATTCGCTCTGTTGACCTAACTTCCGGACGTTATCGATTGCCCCCTATTTCGAACCACAATGGAGCGTTTGACTACAAAAATTGAGATTGAAATTGTATAGCAGTTCGAGTGGACATTGCTCAGCATACCGGGCGAACGCCTCCGCATTTCGCATCTCGACAATTTCGGCTATTACTGAGCTGCCCCTATTTGAAAGAGGGGAGATCGACTACTTAAGATGACTGGAAAATATTGGCTATTTAGACGAAAACAGAGTGTTTGTTAATCCCGAGTGTGGTATTTGAATTCCTTGGAATCGGCAACGGCGCTATTCTGATATGTTTTAGTCAGTTGGGTTATGGGCCTTGGATGAAACAAAACTCATTTACTCAATAATCTTATTATTCATTCTGATCAAGGTTTTATCCGCTATCGACCTGTTACACTGAAGTTTGCATAGTTTTCAAGCGTACTCCGTAATCATGTATCAATAATCCCATGGTTCATGTGTGGTTCGGCGAGTGAAATTTCCAAACCGTTATAAATTTTCCGAGTTTATGGATGAAAACGTTTCTGCGATTGAGATAATTTTGCAATGAAACAGACGTCATTCACACTGATTGTTTTAATCAAATTTCAATCGGATCAGCATACTGTCTTCAGTCCTTCAGTTTGACGGATGAACTAGCCTAGCTCTTCATCGGATGTTCATTCTGTTCTGTGCCCAGAACGGCTGAATTTCCGCAAATGGGTTTTCTGCTGAATGCGTAACTCGGTTCAAACTATCCCGTCTGATCACAGTGTGTGATGGCCCTTTTCCTTCCGAGCAGTAAATGTTTGCTTCGCCCTTCGATTGCCTTAGGCGATCTCGTGGGTAGTGTCGATAAAGCAAACTGGAGTGTGGTCAAAAATGCACAATAAACCACTTTTAGATCTGCAT